TGTTGTCCGTGCGGAATGACGAGCTCAATCCACCGCTACATGGAAGAAAACTCCTGCAAGAATTTGTCGTAGACGCTTATGTCAAGATCGAGCAGAATCGACTCAGGTACCATAGAACTCATCAGAGAGAGCTCCGCAGCGACACTTATAGTGGATTGAGTGATCATTTCCGCGATGACGTGCTGGGATCCCCAGGAAGACGAATCGTTCTCCCATCTTCATTCATCGGGAGCCTTCGGAATATGCAGCGGAGCTACCAAGACGCGATGGCCATCGTGGCAAAGTATGGGCTGTCGGTCTGTCTGTCTGTAGAACATGGAAATATTTTCCGAGATCCATGACATTGCTCAGCGGGGGCGGGGGCTACCATTATCTCCGACTCTAGTATATCTTAACGATATCCACTCTAAAAACACATTCCTCCCCGCTTTTTGCGGAGAATTTAGCGCGCTTTGAATCATCGAGCCTCATCCCCACCGCTTCGATGCTACGCGGCGCTTACAGTTTCCAGCCATCCGACGCCTTACGAGTGGGACGGTGACAAACCTTTCACAATTGCGACACTTACAAGCCTCCACAATGCCGAGATTCGAAGGCTCGCAACCCAACGATTTTTTGACAAGGAACGATGACAGAACTCTTTCCTCCAGCTATTTCTGTACCGGAGACATTCTTTCGCCGATTTCCGTGTCTCCTAGTGGAATATTAAACGAATAACCGATCGCTAAGCGTATCCGCTAAGGTATGGGACCGTATTCGATATCGTTGTTGTCACAGGACGCTTAGCGTCAGCGACGGCATAGAGCTATGCAATCCGCAGAGGACCGCGACCGTGCTCGTCAAGCCAATCGTATCCAACATTCTCGGGCTAGACACCAAGCCCCGACCATTACTACTGGACCGAACGCATAAGGTCGACGTGAATGCGCTCTTTTTCACCTGGGACCGCTGTCAACCCCCTGCGTTTCATGCCGCGCCTCTCACTTCGAGGCTGAAGTGGACTCGCGTCACCCAGACTCCTCCGCCGTTCTGACGTTTCCCCGTCGGAACTGAAAGCTCTATTCGCGCATCGAAAAACGGAAGATGGTGATTCCATAAATCGTCAGAAAAATTTCCCCTCGGTGGGGAGGATATGGTCCTTTCTGCTTTAGGATACATGATCAGATTTACCATCGATTAGGGTTTCATTGGAGCGTTCAACACGCGACCCTTTCAGAGCTTAGGACAAGGAGATATGAATATATCGCTCCGATCGTTCTCAGTTCCATGAAAATGGATATCCAACATCATTTCGCATTATACTGCTCATAGACTTACTATTTTAGTGAAAAAGGGAATCACACCAGCGAGATCTGACCAGAAGAAAGAATCTATCAAGCCTTCTCGCGGAGAGCAATCGCCTCCTGCCGCTCTATCGGGAGAACATATTGCTATCAAAAGTAGCACCTTGTGCTTTGTGTGTGGTTTTAGCACATGCTAGACTTAAAGGGTAATAGAGTCGGCGGCATCTGATGCCTTCGTTTTCCGGGATCTGAAATGTGCCTGTTCATCTGTAGGCAGGTGTCCAGTTTTCTCGTCTACCGGGTAACGTGAGTATTGTCGCTCGATGCTTCGATCTCGCAATCGATCCGATCGTTCCCCGTTCTCCGAAAGCTAACCATAGGCGATGGATTTTTGCGTCTGGAGCTACGTAAAGGTCATAGAGATTCGGCGATCGTGTGAAGATTGAGATTCCTGCTGGGTGGTTCCTTGGCTTACGTAGTTCCCGTTGGGTGTCGCTCTCTGATTCTGATGTGCAAATGTTCGCGGGTCACTCTTTCGCTGACGTCATTTCCGTTGCATTTGATCACAAGAGTGAGCGCAATGGTGTAGTTCTACGCCAAAGCTCGTTTGCTCCTTCCGATTCCCTTCCACAGACTCTAGAACGCGAGACCGGACCAGGTTTCTTACGTTTCCAATATTTCACGATCCGGTGCGTTACTCCTTAAAGAATCGGGATGCCTCCACTCCGACCACGAGAATGATGGTTCCATTCCAGAAGACGGATGTTCTACTTGGAATAGTATGACTATATTTGCTCTTCCGGAGCATTCTCCTATTCAAAGTCTATATATTCCAGGTGGAACCACAGAGGGAAGGTGCTTGGATTGTCCCTGAAAGACGAATGGAGAACGAGACAGCAGGGGCGCTGGTTGCCGCGGGGGGAAATTGAGGAGATCCTCATTCAAATCGGAGTTGTTGCACCGGCAGCTCGCAGCGCTGGCGAACATTGAAATTCGATGACTTATCAACCAGAGCAAAAAAAAACTTTAGCCGCCGCCGCGGCTCTCCGATTATTCAAAATCGCGAGTCGAGAGCTAGTAATAAAATGCTGAAGGGAGAAAAGCATTTTTCCTCGTTATCAATCACAGATCACAGCTGGTTCGGAGTGCTGCCGAGGTCTCTCCATATCTAACGTGGAAAAAATCGCTACCGTTCACTTCGTCGCCGGCGGTGAACTCCGAGCGAGATGGCGCCGGACTAGTCGTCGGTCGACAAGCCACTTAGGCGGTCGTCCATTATCGTCGAATGCCGACGCGTCTCCTTTTTTCGTTTTTTTTTCTTACTGAATGGCGTGAACCAAAGAGCTCCGAGAAGGCGAGAAGCGAGTTTGACCGAAGAGCCCCGGAGCGCTTTCCGCCGATGTTCCGAGTCTCGCATCGGATACCGGGGAACTGGAAACTGCGGCAAGAGGCTGGGTTGGGTAAACGAATGCATAATGGCTCGAGCGTGGGAGTCATCTATCAATGCTGAGCAGGGTTAGAACGAGTCGTGGAAATCTGACGGGTGACATGAACCCAAATATGAGCCGCTGCTTTCCTCGAAGCGCTTCATTTCCCTCCTCAGCTATCGTACGAAAAATTTTCAGAATAAGCATTTAATAATCAATAACAGAATGAATTGGATCGCCGAGGCTCTGATAAGAGTTTTCCCTATTCCGAGAAACCTGAACACTAGATGAGTACTTTCGGCAGAAACAATCACCGGAATTTTTCACTGCAGGAACGATCCTCCTATGTGGTTCTTCCAGAAGGTAAAACCTGCCGGACAGCCGCCGATCCATTCGCGTGCATACGGAATCCGGGAAGAGTTCCGCGCAAAATCAGTGAAAGTGTGCGCGAAACAAGGAGAGTGACATCTCACCGAGTCCGTAGCGGGGCTTTTACCGAAGATTTATTATCCCCGTTTGCGGCCGCTCGTCGTACGCTATGGCATGATCTCGCTCCCGTTGTTATCGCGGCCGCTGCAGCAAATGGACGAATTTTGAAAAGAATTTCCTTTACCCAGAGGCGGTGTCATTTGAACCCTTACGCTTTATCTAATGTACCCTAATTGTACTTTGCGTCTTCTTCTTCTCGTTTGGCTTCGTTTCCTTCTGATTCCCGGTCTCTCTTTCATATCGTTCAGGCCCTCTGGCTTTTCAGAGCTTTCCGACTGTTTGCTGCTCTGTTCTCCGTTTCGTACGCTCACAGCCGTCGGTCTCGTTGATCCCCCTCGGTCCCACTTTCTTCAAGCGCCTTATCTCGATCCTGATCGGCTCGCCTCCGGTCTGCTACCGATCGGGCGGCTGGTCATGCGGCCTTCTCGGAGGAGGTTTCAATTCCCATTTCACAATCGATGAAGTCTCGAAGAAATCACTCGGAGGAACAAAATGAAGCGAGAAACAGAGAGATCGAGCAGGATCCTGGCCAGCGCGGGGCGTAGACGGTGAATTTCGACGTTGGGAGCCACACAGCTCTACGAAAAACCTCACCTAAGTGATCGGAGGTTCTGGCAGCTCGCCGAGCCTCGCTGATTCGGTTTGAGAGCACCGGAAAGCGATTCGAGGAGATTCGAGTTCCTCCGCCCGCAGCGGCTCCGCTTTCTATTCGCCCAAAGCCCGTCAGCCCGAATCTGTGTTTGCGCATTGCGGGTTGTTCTCCGGCACGCGTTCCTTGATGCATGCGATGCAGTAAAAGTTCCGATCGATGATAAATGGCAAGATCTAATCGTTGTCTGCGTGTCCCTCGCCTGCCTGGAAGTGGAATGAAGCAACAGACAGCAAACAGACCGAGCGTTTTGTCAGCTGCGGCGAACTGGAGTTTCCTAATCGAACACCGGGATCCGATTCCGCTTTTGTCGGTAAGCCTGCGAACAAGTGAGTTAAATGAATGCGAGCAGACCGTAGAGCGGAATCTGGTTTGGAGCATGATGAGACAGCATAATCGGAATTCCAGGCACCCGTAGGAATCCAACCGGTTCTACTCCCGGATCCTCCAGCTAGCAGCGATGTCGTGACGAGGAAAAACAATGAAATATCGAATTTATCGTGACGGTATACTCTTTTTCGGAGGAGAACCCGTCAGGAAAAGAGCTCAGCGACCTCTTCCTAGAGAGAGGGCAGGGTGGCGGTGAAATTCGCCAGTCGCCCTACGGGACCCTCTGTGGAAAAACCCGAGAACGCTTGAATGAGGTCGACAGGCTGAGAATTGAAGGATCTACTCCGGCGCTTTCTTATCAACGCGTCGCCCTGCTAAATCTGCTGGGTGTGTTGTTTTTACCTACATTGTCTGGACTTAACGTACGGGAGCCTTCGAGGCGTCAGGTCAGAACGCGCGTTCGTGCGTGCGAGGAACGACTGCCACGCTCAAATGGAGCTGGCTGTGTATGAAAAAGTGAGTGTGAATGACATCAAGTGCGAAAGTCAGAGCTAGACGTCACCGACACACGGGGCACGAGCACAAAAAATAAAGTCACCGGAAAAATGGTGAAGCGATGGAGAGTTCCGAAGTCGTACTTCTCTCGCGTGGGGGGCACCAAGCTCGACGCGAGCAGAGTGCAGTATCTCCGAGAGCCGGGATTCCGGAATAACCGGCTCCAGCGTTTCAAGCTCGGCTGATATAGGGCGAGCTATTCTTCATGGATGAGTATGAGTTCTTATGCCAGTATCTGACCGTGAACAGACACCGTAGACTTCTCACCTTCGACTGCCCGAGCGATGGTCTGTCGCTCGGTCTTCGATGTGGAGAGACCGATAGGCCCGCCGCACCAAGTGTCGGCTGCGTAAATCTGCGGGGCTGATTCCTCGTACATTTTCGGTGACCACACTGCCCCCCTTCCCCCGGCATTTCGTTCTCTTCCCTTCTTAGAGATCCGAAGCGGGGATTACGCACCCATCTCTCCCATATGAGCCGCGAAGGAGACACAGGGCGAAATTCAGACTCCACGAAGAATTGTTCCGGGAGCTCTCCAATTCGTTAGGGAGGGGAGCGCCTACCCAAGAAACCACAACTGATTGCGCAATTGGTTGATTTCTTCAAGGTCAATAGAATGGTCTAGTTCCGAACTTGGGGAAAACTAAGAGCATGTCGTTCTGTGGCACCAGGAAAAATACAATGAGCCCTGCCCCGATTCACCTGCACGAACGAGAATGTAGAATTGATGACTGCCACTGCCGGCATTAGAATTCGTGGACAGATACAAATACCTGGGACAAATTGTTCAAGCCGACCTCAAAATCACCGGACACGTTGAGAAAATTGTATCTAGGGCCAGGTCTGGCGTTGCCATACTCGCAAGACTGAGGGGCTGCTGCTCCATGACGCTCAAAAAAGCAGTATATCACGCGCTCATTGAATCCCATGTCAACTTCATGTTATAAATCTACGGTGGTGCACATAATCGACTGATCGCCAAAATCGAGAGACTCCAAATAAGAGCCTTGCGTTTCATTTGTAACTCAAGCTGGGATGCAAGCTGTGCTCCTCTTTACGAAAGAACGAAAATCTCGACTATACAGGGATTGTACGTGAAGCCTCGTCCGATTTAGGTACTCCCGTATGCCTAGTCTGAAGAGGCCATCTCACGAGTACCCCACCAGATTCAGTGAAGAACGATATTTATCTATCCCCAGACTTAAGGAAGACTTCTCCCGAAGAAGTGCTTTAAGGAACTTCATCCGCCTTTACAACAAATTGCCCACTGATCTGAAAGAGCTGTTCGAGAGCCAAACAAAAGAAGACAGGAAAAAATGTCAGAAGCAAATCAAAGAGCTATGCATAACGTTGAAATAAGCTGCCGTATTCCCTCCCCCCCCCCTTTTAGGTATCGACGAAAACAGGCGCGTCCATACGATTTTTTTTGAGGGGGGCCAGCCGATTCCTGGAGTCGCATCAAAAAGAGCAATTTCTCGATTTTGTCCGGAGATGGTGATTCTCGAGATAAAGCACGAAACCCCGTACTTACAATCATGACCATAAGTGAGGGGAATGCAGGAACTTCAGATTTTAATCCATCACAAATAGCACAACCATGGAACTATTCGAGTATTAATTTACTTACCCGAAACTACTTCACAAAACCATTTCAAGCTTTCTCGGATTAGCCGCCATGTAGTCCACAATCTCTTCAACAGTAAGCGGCATTTCTCGATAAATTTTCAACGACGTCAAGCCATCCAATCTCTCTCCTTTCATCGTACTCCGAAGATCTGTTTCCAGCAACTAGAGTACGCTGGAAGTGCGTCCATCTGACGACAGGTCGACTGAAAATCTTGGGGGGGGGGGGGCCATGGCCCCCTGGGCCCCCCTATGGACGCTGCTGGACGAAAATGAACTCATGTTTTCGGCGCGACTGTTCCACGGGCCCTAGTAGGCCCATCGCAGGCGCCATTTAGAGGTGTATCGAGAGGATGCAAATGAATAACTTTGTCAAGTTAAAAAAAAATGATTCCGGGCCTCGCGATCACAATCGCTCGCGATGAGGGTCGTCCATCAGAATAGCGGGATTCTGGAGGCCAAACAATCGCTATCTCAATCGATCCGGCATAAAGTCGCAATTTGTATGCAAACACGACATTCGGGTCGCGAGCGATCAGCGACAGCTCGGCAGCTTGAGAGGCCAGTGCTTACATGGTACTATGCCGACGTGGCTCGTCATTTGCAGGTTATATCCTACAAGCGGCCGCAAATAAGCGCATCCATGTCTGCGAGTACAATCACCGACACCCGGGTACCTTTTGGGGTCTGAAGCTTCCCGCGGAGGTTTCTGTATGTGAGGTAGACGTTCGTTGTTGGCGAGGTTCTTTTCGGTAGTCTGCTCCCCGATTTCGTACCTCCATCTTACTTGGCTTCCCGAGCTGGGACCGCTTCCTCGTTTGCCCGCGTTCGTCCCGGCGAGAGGGACAGTCCAAGGTTGCTCTTACAGTGCTCCAAGTGAAGCTTGACATGATACCGAACGTGACCACGGGACACTCGAAGTCAATATTGGTGTAAGGGACTCTCGTTAGAGAGTTTCGACACGTGCTCCGCAGATTATCAGTGCCATTCAGTGGAGAGCCGCCTCTGTGGAAGAGGACGCGACCGCTCACTCCGGCAGGTGCAGTAATACTATAATATTACCCTCGGAGTATTATTACCTAAATTAAATTTCCGAGAGGGGTATTCAAGTTTCATGATCACATGCTCAGAAGAATCGGTTCCGTCGAACTGTACGCATCTGCGCTGATCCCCGTGCCGGGAATGAAGACGCGAGAATGTGGTGACTGCACTGACGGGACAACAGCAATTATCTGTCGCTCAGTCGACTGAGGCGAACTTTCCGTCGAGTCTCGGACCGTCGCGACAGTTAGCAGAACAAATGAACGCCGAAGACGACTGATTCTTGCGATGCCTCATCTATCATCGTGCAGTCTGTCTCGAACTCTACGACGACAGCCTGTTCGGAAAGGCTCAACGTGTCGGTCCCCGTCGAGAACCGTCGTGCGAGTGCTCGTCCCCCCTCCCCTCGAATGTCTATGCAGTAGTCCAAATTGAAGACTGGTCTTGAATGAGCGGTATTCCGGGACCTAATCAAAACTCAAGCTCGGAAACCATCCAACTAAAATGAGACGCATCTCTGTGATGCCAAACTAGTTCTCACGGAAATGCGAACGACGCACTCAGTCAAGACCCCGATTTTCGTGCCGAGTCCCTCCAAGCTCTCATTAAACCATAGGGATGCGGAACGGCACGACATGAAAACCAGACCCCGACGAAGGCTCGAATCGCATGCAAGAGATAGCGAAAGCGGACGGGAAAATTTTTCCGACGTAAAAGCGTCGACTCGAGGCTGGAACCTTGACGTGAATTATTCGTATAGAGGGCCGGTAATTTATCTAAAGGTAGGATGGGAACGACTTCTCTCGCGGTAATTTTTCTCCGCTGCGTGAAATAGCACGTCGGAATTAAGTGGACAGAAGCCCTTGTTCGCCACCTGCAGCTACTCTGCTTGAGCTCACCGAGAGCTGTAATTCATCCTTGTTTCCGTCGGTTATCCAGCTTCGAACTCCGAACGGTCCTCTGGAGCTCTCCGAGATCCAAGTTCAAGATCGGCTCCGAGCTTCAGAGTTTGAGTGAGCTTTGCGCAAATCCGAGACTAACAAGGAAACACAGAACGGTAAGCTGATTAACGCCCGGCATATGATCGATGGATAGTCCGATAGATTAATGCAGGAGCCACACCGTCGGATTCGAAGGCCCCCAAAATACTAGGTATCTGGAACATCGCAGTGAAGAGTCCGCCGATGCTTAGACAGCTTCCGAGCAGAATTATTTACGATGTCTTGTCTGAGGAACACGGGGAGAGCAACGAAGAAACAGCAAACGGTAGGCGAGGAGAGAGTGAGGAATGAAAGAGCGGGCATCCGCGATTTACATAGTCCATCACGAGACCGTGCTACCTTTGGGAAGCACAGTGGCAACCATGCTCTGCCAGTATCATATTATACTGATGGAGTTCCGTCATCTTGGGACCTCTCTTGAAATGATGCCTTCGCCATGGAGTATCTGCCCCCATCGTTTCGTGCACACCGTGAACCTATAGACGAATCGACAGACGGGATCAGGATTAAAATTGCAGATTCCTCAACGATGTATCTCGACTGTGTCCGAATTTTCAAGACTTGGCACTCCAAGAGTTTCGCTGTCCCGCGGTGGATCCCGGAACATCCAACCATTGTTCCACAAACATACATAGTCAAAGAAAAAGGATTTCATCGAATGGTATGATTCGAGCATTTCATGGTCGGACCTTCGAATCGCTGCTTTTGTCAGGCTTCACCCTTTAGAGATCCGTGCATTCCGACGTCAGCCCGGTCGGCGAAGCAAGAGAGACCCACGCCTAAATTAGCGGAATGAGCTCGGAATCTCGTGTCGTGCTTGAGAACCAAAAAAGGGCAACTTCCACGCTCGCATGGGAGGAAGTCACACCATCGGCCTAGATTGTGGAACTACAACGGTAGACGCCGGGGCGGGACGCGGAACCGGTGGCTCGGGCGCAATTAGACATGTCTACAATAAAAATGCGTTTTCCCAAAGTATGCGACTCACGTGCGGAGCAATTGAGCGCACATGTACGCATTGAGCGCACCCCCCCCCTCCCCTCCCCGCCTTTCATGCGAGGTGACTTTGACACGCGTGGCTGAGAGTCTTCCCTTTCCGCTTCTAAGAACTGTTCCTCCTGCGCGCGAGTTTGCCTTGCCTGGAATCGATAATTGTTTCGAAAACTACAGATGAGCTCGACGACGGATCGCGGGTCACTGTTCCTTGCAAAACAGGCTCCGAGATGTGTTCGGAACCCGGCGCAAAATATTCATGTATGTAGAATCCACGGGAAGGTTAGCCCAATTCATTCTGATAGGAGACTGCTTTTGGTGTGGCTGATCATCAAGGCAGAGCGGGACTATGCTTCGATACCGCACCTACTTCGGGAGAATAGTTCTCACTCCCGCTCTTGGGATTCCCGGAGCGACTCCCGACGACGCCCAAAATACTCAAAGATATATAATAGCTGATGACAGCTTTGAACTGATTTAAACTTGGTGGGTGGCTCAAAATGAGCGCACTTCAAAGAAAAAATAGCGAAATATCTCCGCCAACTTCGAACGAGTCGAGCAGGTCTCTACGGGAAAGAGGATGCGGTGTCCCTCTCCTGCCCTTCCCGCTCGCGAAGCATACCATTGCCATGCTACTCCGAACTCAGAGCTTCCAAAGAGGATGACGTTGAGGGTACGTTCTCTCAGCAGGCACCCAGAGGAAAAGTGTTTATCAGGTGACGTTTCACTCCATGGAGAAGCTCAAACAACGCCGCGCCTTCTGGGGTTGCAAAGCTCTCGAGCCTCTCGAACCGTGATGACTGCGGCCTGAACTTCACCCGAGAGGATTCGCGTCCTCACCGCTTAGCCTGCAGGATTATCCATCGATCCAGTGGAGCATATCCCTGCCAGTGCCTCCCCCTCCCCCGGTGCATCCGGGGATTTTCAGGGAAGCCTTCGACGGAAACGGGAAGAGAACCTCCTCCCGGACTCCCATCGTGGATTACGCGCCGCTCGACAAGTTGTTGTGGTATTACGCCGGATGGATACGTGATGTGTGTTACGTGCGCTCTAGCAATGAGTAGGGTAACATAAGACGACGAAATCTACGCGGCCAGATGAGTGCGTCTGCCATGATGAATGTTGTCGCGGTCGTGCTTCGACTCATCCCGGGCTTTCTGCTCCTCATGGCACTTGCAAATAACACAAGCGGGAGCGGCAACAACAGGAAGCAGCTCAGTTCACGCACCGTGGCCACTAAGTACGGCATCCTGAAAGGCCTCATTGTGGAACCGGAAAGCCGTGGCAGCGGCGGCAGCGGTGACGGAGGAATCCGCGGCGGGGGCGTTGGCGGCGACCTCTTGCCTATCGAGGTGTTCCTGGGAGTGCCATATGCGTCTCCTCCAACAGGTTCGATGCGTTTCATGCCGCCCGGAACACCTCAACACTGGAAAGGAATTCGAATGGCCGACCGACTCGCTCCGGTGTGTCCGCAAAAACCGCCGGACGTACAGGATGAAACCGCGGCTCTTAAAAGAATGTCTCAACGCCGGGTGGAACATCTCAAACACCTCACGCCTTTCCTGACAGGAAACTCAGAGCAGCAGAGCGAGGACTGTCTGTACTTGAATCTTTACACTCCGACAATCGGTATGTGCGTTACTGAGGCTTAAGGGAGCCGACTCACTAAGGACTGGGTCCCGTTTTTAGACTACTGCTCTTTTCAGCTGGGAGTCGGGTAGAATAACCGAATAACATGAGCTTCAAGATGGTAACAAAATTTTCGTTTGGACAAAATGCTAAAAGTCCCTTAGCAAGTCAGCTCCCCCAATACAAGTGGAATATTCGGGACCGCTGACCGATCTGGGAGCGAACTTTTGAGAAGAGACGAAATTGATTGAGTTCTGATTTTTCGAAGAAGAATTTTGAAAGTTCCGGGAAAAAGAAATGCTCTAAACGTGGAGAATATTCCGAGGAGGAGGAAACTGCAGAACCTTCTGCAGGTTCTGCACTCTCAAGGAACGGGTGGCTTTCGAGATATTCGAATTGGATCTCTGCGCACTTCGGGTATCATCCCTGAATCTCATACGCCTGTATCGATCCGGTCGTATTTGAGTCGGAGATGAGTATCGATAAGCCGTGCATCGCAGAAAGGTGCAAAGCGTCGAATATTTCCAAATCAAGTCACGATTTTCGAGTTTGTCGAACACCTGTTCGCGTGACGACTATTCGTCGATGACAGCTGCGGCAACCTCCACTTCTCCTAGCAGCCAAGCGGCTCGTTCTCTCGTTCGTGAGTACTTCAGAATTTGGACTGAAGCAGTTTCCTCAATTGTCGCGAAAGTCCTGCCGGCGATTCCTGTCTGGAAGAGCGCGTATTCCAGCGTGGAACGGACAGTGGACTCATAGGCTTGTCGGCTCACTACCGGACCGACTTGCAACAGGAAACAGCCTCCTCCCGAGTTTTGAGCAAGGGAGATATTGCGAGGCTCCACTTTCCGGACCAACCGACAGCAAATGTTGCGCAAAGAAGCGTGCTATCTTTCTCCACCCGCTTGCAGGCAAGCAAACTCGCCGATCAGTTCGCGATGCCGGATCGTTCACCGGACGGTTACGTATAATCGGAACCGCTTTCCAGAGAGCCTCCCATCACACGGGTGGGGACGAGGTTTATATAGTTGGAAGACTCGCCCTTGCCCTCCGCTTTCAAGAATCGGGTCTCTCGCATTCGTCGCCGGAACAGACCCGGAAGCCCAGACTGGACCTGAAACTGGTGGTAAGGGGCGATGGCTCTGCCTGCGAGCGGAGCTCAAGATTCCAACGGCCTTGACCGACCTCCGTTTCCGCCGGAGTTTCGCACAGTCCGGTCTGTTTTCTCGCGAATTGATATCCTGATCGGCGACTTGGTGTCTCCGGGATTACGGCATACGGGACACGACGGATTGAGCCACGCTGCAAAAGCCACCGACGCAGTCCCGGCGTCCGACTCCTTTGGGCTCCGACAATGTCCCTCACACACGGGACGTGCTCGACAAGGGTCCTTCAGCAGCTAGATGTTCGAGCTGGCCACTCAACCGAACTTTCACATCGAAGACAACACCTGTGGCATTGTGCGCTGAGGCTCGGTCGGCTTCGAAGTAGTCGGCCGATCGGTCCGTCCGTGTAGCGTTCGTCTTGTTATAACGATTCGTTTTAGGCCGCTTTCTCTTCTTGCCAAGTTGCAAAATTTATAACGCGACTAAGATGCCCGGCGGCGACATCATCTATGGACTCATGCGCATTTTCCGTTATCCCTCTGTCTCGTGTCGGATGCTCACAGCGCTCTGAAGAGCGCACATCGACCATGTCCTTCAAAGACGAAAGGAGCCTCTGACTGTATTTCCTTCCTTTCTGCCGTGATTCCTCGGATCTCAGATAACCTCGCAGACGTTTGAGATTCGCTCTTCACAATTTCTCTATGAGTCTCGGATTTCTACATTTGAGAGCGGAGGGCCCGGGTGGGTAAAATACATGGGCTCGGCGTGTCTTAGTTTTCCCCGGGAATCCGCAATGAAAATCTCTCTCCGTCGAGGATTCCAAGAGCAGAATCTCCCGATAGGCTTGCGGGACGAGAGGAAAAAACGGTGACTCGGAAAGGGGGCAGCCACCCTCACAAGTTATATGGAGCCACGAACAACTCCCCCCTCGACATAAACCTCAATGACGCTCTCAACGACCGTACGATTGCGGTGGTGGCGGCAGCGGCAACGGTGGTGGTGGGATCCTTTGCGACAATTCCGAGCCGCCTTTCTTTCCCATTCGGAAAGTTGTGACACCGAAGTTATTCCCCCCGAGCAGAACAGACCTTCGAAGGCCCGACGCTTTCTATTACGCTCTTCAGAAGTTTCTCCTCGTTCACCATCAAGAAACACACCTGGGAGCATTGTTTCTCTCGGAAAGGTCTCGCATAGCTCATTCCACGAAATCTTGATCGTTCAGCTCAGAAATGATGACGCAAGCCGAGCTGGAACTCCTCTCAGCCATCTGTCACTGATTGTGAGTGAAATTTTGAGAACTCCGAGAAGCACGACTGACGCGAAGCACGCTTTTCGAGTACGCATCTCGATTGACAGTCATGCGTACGGACGGACTGCAGCCGTCGAAGCAGGAAAACGCTTGTGCTCCTCTATAGGAGAGCCACGTCGCTATCATCGGTTGTGACGGTAGCTGCTCTTACGCGCATTCGGACTACCACAGGAAACAACGATGAGATGATTCGAAAATCTACCATGCGAAACGAGTTGGGAGTTCTGGGATGGAACACACTGAGTAGTTTCGTTCGACATCCGGCTCATCCAGCTATTGAAACTCAACTCGCCTGCATAGTGAGGAGAGACTGGAGACGCTCGTTGCGAATAACATGCACTTAAGGATAACGAATTTTCCCGCTGAGTCACATTAGAGCAGCTCCGTCGAGTTTTCACACCCGTGTAGCACGGTCGTCGTGGATATCAGAAGTCATTTATTCCAATTTTCGATTCTCTTGCTCATTCGGCTTTCTCGTCGTTCGCGGGATTCTTCTCTGAGCTGTTCTCATGACGTTCGCTTGAATTGGTGCGAATGCCACTCCGGAAAGAGAAATCCCTCCTCGTCGGAACCGAATTTCGGAATTTACCGAACTGACCCACAGTTGGAAAGGATCGAGTCCCGAAAGCAAATGCTGCCTCGACATCGCGAATTTTCAGCTGGCGCCCTCCTTGCGATTCGACGGGGGTCACCAGCAGCCAAGAGTGGCTTCGAAGTGGGAATCCGTCCCAAGAAATTAAGCGTGCTTCCTGACCGGAGCGCGCGCCGATTCGATTTGAGCCTTGGTGTTCGGGGTCGGAATTACGCCAGCCGCCTCGTCGATAGCGAAAACAAACCGGATTAACTTCTCTCGAGCGTTCTCCGATGATTGAGAACTCGGAACTCGCCAGATCAACCGACTGGGAGGGCGACGACGCCGCTGGAAAAAAAATCCTCGCTGATGGAAGAATAAGAACCCCGCCGTCGACACCGACCTCTAACAAGGAGGAATAAACCAATTAAAATCTCTCAAGAAGTTCTTCCCGAGCAAACGAGCGACTGATTCACCGGTCCTTGGAATCATTAGAAGGTTCTTTGGTCTTGAGTATCGCTCTGTAGGCTTAACTCGAGTTGTAATAGGCCGTCAACCGCTCGAGTGCGGAAAACGGAAGTGACTCAGCTGCTTCTACAATCTCAAATCTCGTCTTGCGTTGAAGTTTTATTCAATCTTCCCGCTGTCCCGGATATTCAGGGATGGTTCTCCGTCTCCTCGCCGGATTCGAAGACCTAGAAGTGTGTCCGATTTATTGAGTTTAGGAATATTTACAGCGGATCAAATCTAGCTCTCACATACTCAGACTAAATGCAAAGCATACGAAAGGCTTTCACAGGTGATTCTTCAAAGCTTCTGAAAAGCTTGGGAGCATCTCGAGGGCTTGGCAAGGGATACTGTGTTCCGACCCGCCGTGGAGAATATATGAGAATTGCAGATTTGCATCACGTCTGCATTCGAGTGTGCGCAAGCGCTTTTTTTTCTTCCCGCGTCCGGCTTGGAAATAATGGAGAGCCGGGACGAAGATCCGGACCGATGCTCCGAAACTTAAGCGAGGCCTCCGCGCGAACCCAATTGCATAATGGAGCAAGTCTGTTGAATATTCGGAAGGAGGCTTTCTCAGTCGAACAATGAAAAGAGAGAACACACACAGAGCCTAGTCGGAATCCGAAGGGTGAGCCGCTTGAGGTTAGATGTCTGTCCGTCGGTACTTGTCCGTGTCCGCTCGTTCGACCGGTACCGGCTCGCCGCCGGCAGCCTATCGGTTCATCCGACGCTGTATGGATGGATGTCTCTTCTGTTTGGACGGGAGAATAGAGGACGGGGAATAGCGAGCGAAGAAATAGAAAGGAAGGACTATCCGATCCTCGGAGGAGACCCGAGGAAGTCGGAGCTGAGGGACGTTTTGATTTGAGGTTCCGATTCAGTAAACATGATAGGCGCCTGTCGAGTTCATACATCCCGAACTTTTGTGCTTTGAAAAGTTCTCTTCTTCTCAGTCGGAGCGAATCGATCCTGGAGATACGCGGAGCTTTCCTTCCGTTCCCATGTAACTGTTTCAGTGTGACGCTGAGTGCGGCTAAGATGATACGACTTTACATTGTGTGACGGCTGGGTGCAACCGCAAATGAATAATTTATGAATGCCCCTCGCTTTCCTCCCTGCTTCCCAAGGTTTTCTCCGATTCTCTATTCGGTCCGGGAATCCTCTAGAACATCGACGGGCACTCTCCTTGGGGCCAAAAATGCAGGTAACCAATGGATTGGGACATCACCCGTATAGGCAGATGATCCGATAAGCGATGTACCGATTCAGCGGAGTCCGCTATATTTATATACCTACTTCGTAAACATACTCCTCCGTGGATTGAGGGGGGAACATCGTATCCGCTCAGCGATCGGTAGAATGGATCTAGAGTTTTCAGTACACATTGTTTTTCGTCGAGATTTTTCCAGCTCGAGCTGAGGCCGCGAGATGACACCGCCACCGGAAGGCCCTGTGCACGCGGTTCGCCTCGCGGGTCAGCTCTCCCGCATCCTCCGGAGCTTTATTT